ACACACACACACACATTCACACCAGTGGCGGTGAGTGGACCAAAATTTGGGTGGGGATTAGGTTGCTTCCACTTCTTTACCACCAAATAGCTCGCAATAACAACTAAAGAATGATGGGTTTTCTATACTCACGGTGAGCCACGGCATTTCGAGAACCATTCAAACGAGGAGAGTTACCTTTGTTTCCCATCTCGTTGTTCTTAGTTATATTCTTGTTGATGGTGGGGACGAAGCCGATTCACCCCCAAATTTCCTCTAATTAATTTTAGACAAGACCACGAGAGCCCCGAGAAGTTCTATTTCTGTCTGGGGAGGTTTCTTTTTTTTATCCTGTCTGTGTGTTGGGGCCATGTAAATCTCTCAGCCAGCCCGAGTTGGCCTTAACTGACAGGGTCGAAGTCGAAGTAGCCTGCCTCCTAAATGATATAAATTTTGTCGGGGGAGGGGGGGGGGAGGGTAGAACACTTCCGCACCTACAATTATAGAGGAATCAGGTCTGCCCTAAGCTGACACACCGTTTGGTTTTTTTTGTTGTTCACAGCAGTTTCGAGAAAAAGAAGCTTTTACTCAGCGTAACCATTTACTGTTTAAAAAAGGCATTCTTCCGAAATTAGAATTTTAATTAATTTTAAAAAAAACTAGTCGCAGTTTCCTTTTGATTTTTTTTCACACAACACAACTGATATGGTAACTGATCAGGCTTTCGATTGAGCAATACATTTTTTAAAAATGGTGCTACAAATTTTTAAGGCGTTTTGTCAGCTCACTGCACAGTTGTGTTGTTGGAGTGGCCAGTCAGCGTGGCTAAGGACTCGGTACAACGACGACGTGGTTCCATGAAAGGCCAGTCTCTTGTTCAAACAAAGGCAGCAGCAGGGGACTGGGGTGGGGACGCTTCATGTCCTCAACAGCCAGTACGTCCTCTCTGGTCGTCCTGAGAGCGTGTGTACGCAGTCGCGAAATGTAAAGAGTCGCTGTATAAACATAGCCGGTATTTTCAACATTTCAGAATTTGATATGTTACACCTTTGTGATTGTACTTACATGCAGGATCGGTCCTTCCTGTATTTTTCGGTTTGATGTAGGCTTACTGCATGAACAAAAAAAAAAGGAATTTAAAGACGTCCTAAAAATATCAGGTTCTGACTTGGTACTATTTTGGGAAGCAGCAAATATTATCATATATTAAGTTTAATCCTGCACTGCGGCAAATTTTTAAGT